ATCCACTAGCTCCACATATGCCGGTGCGACATTCTTGCTAGCCAGACCAGCATGAGGAAACTTAGCCCATTCCGTCAACATCTGGGAAATCAAGGCAGAGGCCAAAACAGGTCAAAGCAAAGTTCCAGTGACAGTGAACATGGCCCGCGAGGCTGCCTCAGCCTTCCTGTCAGTCTAGAAATTGGAGCATCCACGGACAGTGGAGACACCCACTTTTAATAAAGGCTTCTTCAAAGAGATTACAAACAGGGAAGCGCTTGGAAGCCACAAAAGACTTCAATGTTTCTATTTCTTGTAAAGAAAATGATTAAAGAATGAATAATATGGAAAATCTATGGTAGAACGATGAACCTTATGGGTACCAAAAGGCACCTATCCACTACCACCAAAGCTGTGGAGTAGCGAAACCGTTTCAGCTCCTGCAGACGCAGGTACCCAGCAGCCTCTTCCAGAGCAAGGAGACTGCCCCTCCTCGCAAAACCAAACTCACTGCTGCATGGGCAGAAGTGACAGCAGGGGAAGGGTGGAGTGCTCACAGTAGAGATGACAATAAAGAGCCACGGCCGCAAGTGCACAACCACCAGCACAGCCTGCCCTCCATCCGCGGGGTAGGCTGCAGGCCACCACGCATCCTTTTCCCTCTAAAAAAAGAGGAAGGGTGCCCAGAGTGATGGTTTGGGCTCCTGGGTCAGACTAGGCCTCAAAGCTGCAAACTCAATTAGCAAACACTTTTTGCCCCACCACTTGCAGGAACATGTGCCCACCTTACCAACCATGGCAGGAGCAGAGCCCAGGTCAAAGCTCCATAGAGTAGGCTGCCCACAGTCCAGTCAGCCCCCCCAACAGGCCGTGTCCCCCAAGCACCCTGCACATACATACCTAGACGAGGGGGAGAGCTCCCCTAGGGAACAGCAGAGCCGGTCGACCACCTCCAGGGAAATGAACAGGAACCTCTGGCCAGGACCACGGTGCCATGGAGACACAGAGTTGTTACAGTCGAACCTGCAGTATCGAGGAACTGCAAGCACTTGCTGTTGATTGACGTATTTCACAATCCGAAACAAAAATATGGAAAAAAGAACCCCAGCAAGGATTCTGACGTCCTCACTCCTCGATACTAGGCAAAAACCTGGGTTGGCCACCGGCAGGGCTGCCCATAGGCCTGGTTCACACCTGGCCGTTTTGTAGCGCGTTCCTACGCTCTGCAAAACGCTCAAACACCGAAATCCCATTATTTCCTATGGGTATGCTTCACACCTGGGCGTATTACAGGCCGTATGAACGCGCTACAAAACGCCATAGGCCCAAATAAGTACAGGAGCTTCTTTGGGGCGTTTTTGTCACGCGTATCCATTGGGATACAGCCAGGTAGCCCTCGGAAACGCGCGTTTGTTTACCGCGAATCACGGTAAACACGCGCGACACGAAACGCGCATATTCGATACGCCTAGGTGTGAACCCAGCCTTAGGCTTTTTTTTTTGGTGTTTTTTGCCTAGTGTCCTATTCCTGCAGGTGGCAGTATAAACCAGTGGTTGCTGTGTCCTTCAGTGAACAAGAGAGAAAACTTCAGGCATAACAAAATTAAAACTGAACTCCAGGATAGGCAGATATTTTCTAAATAGACAACTCATGTGTATTCTTATTTGAATCTTGGTGTGCTTTGTGTATTTCTTTCAGATCTGTGGCGTAATACAGCGTGAAATGTTGCCAGTGTTGCAGGAGCTTCCTGTAATGGGAAACAGTCACTGGTGCTCTCCCTCCTTGTGCAGAGTTATTGTATCTGCCCCCTGTAGTTTTATATAGGCAGCCTGTAGTGGGTTGATCTGCTGGAACCCTCCCATAGCTCTGCTCTTTGCCCAGGCTATGTGCAGCACAGTGATAATGTACTGTAATTTCTAACTTTACAATGTAATAACTGAGATTGCAAAGGCATTTGGCGCACACAAAGTGGATTTAAATCCTTTGTGGCTATTGAGAAATATTTGTAAATTAACATTTTGTGTCAAGGGTTCAGTTTTAACATTGCACATTTGTAAATAACTGCCAGTGCCTGGTCAAGATGTGGATAATTCATCACTCCTGGGTGTTTCCTTGACAGAGGACTATCATTATTAGCAAGTTCTTAAACAAAAGAGCTTTAATAAAAATGGAAACCAAAATCCTAAACACTGTCCCCCATATTCTATAGCACATACTATTATCAGGCCTCAAAATTTCCACTCGCCCCCTCGCAACTGGCGAGTGAAAATTGCGGGGGGGCGAATGGAATCTCATCGAGGAGCGCCGCCTGCGGGACCAGAGATGGGACACTACCGCCACGGCAATTGCTCGCTTCTGTTCTCTCTTCTCATCGGCCACTGTAGCTACAGAGCTGCCGATGAGAAGAGAGAACACAAGGGAACGATCGCCGTGGTGGTAGTAAAGAAGAGGCACCTGAATACCAGCTAAGTGCACTGTAAGTCCCTTTTCTTTCTTCCTTACACTGTGCGTCACACTGACCCGGCGCTGTGCATCACACTGACCCTGCACTTTACGTCACACTGACCCTGCACTGTGCATCACACTGACCTCTGCGTCACACTGACCCTGCACTTTACGTCACACTGACCCTGCACTGTGCATCACACTGACCTCTGCGCTGTGCGTCACTCTGACCTCTTCGCTGTGCGTCACTATGACCTCTGCGCTTCACACTGACCTCTGCGCTGTGCGTCACACTGACCTCTGCGCTGTGCGTCACTCTGACCTCTGCGCTGTGCGTCACTCTGACCTCTGCGCTGTGCGTCACTCTGACCTCTGCGCTGTGCGTCACTCTGACCTCTGCGCTGTGCGTCACTCTGACCTCTGCGCTGTGCGTCACTCTGACCTCTGCGCTGTGCGTCACTCTGACCTCTGCGCTGTGCGTCACTCTGACCTCTGCGCTGTGCGTCACTCTGACCTCTGCGCTGTGCGTCACACTGACCTGCGCTGTGCAGCACACTAACCACTGCACTGTGCGTCACACTGACCCTGCACTGTGCGTCACTATGACCTCTGCGCTGTGGGTCACCATGACCACTGCGCTGTGGGTCACCATGAGCTCTTCGCTGTGCGTCACACTGACCTCTTTGCTGTGCGTCACTATGACCTCTTTGCTGTGCGTCACTATGACCTCTTTGCTGTGCGTCACTATGATCTCTTCGCTGTGCGTCACACTGACCTGCGCTGTGCAGCACACTAACCACTGCACTGTGCGTCACACTGACCTCTGCACTGTGCGTCTCACTGACCCTGCGCTGTGCGTCACTCTGACCTCTGCGCTGTGCGTCACTCTGACCTGTGTGTTACATTACTGACCTTTTCGTTGTGCGTTACATTACTGACCTCTGCGCTGTGCGTTACATTACTGACATGGCGGAGTTAAGTCAGGGGCAGGGTAGGGGTTAGGTGGGGCAACTGGTGGCGAGTAACTTTTAAGGCCTGGCTAGTAGCTCAGGACTTGAAATTTTGAGCCCTGCTATTATTATATGAAGTTTTGAACACCAGGCAATCATGACATTTCTGCAGAAGAAAACTCCAAAGGAAATCCAGCTGTTCGGCCGGCTCGATGCAAGGAGCAGGCTGTTCTTCCTCTGACCGAAAGTTCGGGTATGTCAAGGGCTCACGAAAGACATGGTTCAAGAGTGCAGACTTTAAACAGGAGATGGCCAGAGAGTGCAGACTTTAAACAGGAGATGGCCGGAGAGTGCAGACATTCAGCAGGAGATGGTCACAAAGTGCAGACATTCAGCAGGAGATGGTCACAAAGTGCAGACATTCAGCAGGAGATGGTCAGAGGCTATGGGCTTGTAACAAAAGATGATCAGAGAGTGCAGAATTTCAACAGGAGAACGTAAGTGACCAAGGGCTTAAGAAAGAGATGGTCAGAGAGTGCAGACATTCAACAGGAATGGCTCAAAAAAAGAGATGGTTAGAGTGCAGACATTCAATGGGAAATGGTGATAGACTATGGGCTAATGACAGAGATGGCCAGAGAGTGCAGCATTGCTCACATGAAGGCAGAAGCCATTGTTCTACCAAAGAAAGGTATTGGAGAGACCATCCAGACTGGCTCCTATGGTCCCTCACGGAGGTGCTGTCCACCTTGTTGTTGGGGCTCCACTGTAGCTGTAAGAACATCTTCCTTGTGAAGCCGATCTAAGGGAAACGCGTTGAGGAGACAAAGCACTGGCAGCATTGAATACTCTTACAACAACTTACTTGCTTTTCTATGAATACTTGGCTCATGTGTATTTGCTGGTTGCTATTCACTATAGTGGTTTATAAGAGTGCTTGGAAGGTTCGTGTTTTATGGTTTTAGTGTATTTTGTATGTAATTGTTACAACTTTGTTGATTCTGCCTTTTAACCTGTATAAATAGAGTTATTTGTAGTTCTTGTTCTAGTGCCCCTTAAAAACCCTGAATTCACCAAATAGCAAGATGTAACCCTCAGGCCACAAGTTGGACACCAGGTCACGACAAGGATTTTCCTGCAAAGGAAGCCGTCAATAAGCCCCTTGTGTAATAGATGTGGAGTAAGTGGACGCAATATAAGGAGTGTAGCACAGCCTGTATGCCCCATTGCCATACAACTCATCCTCTCATAAGATATACTATAAACTCCTTCATCACCTCGCTAACGAGCGCATGCCGGAGGATTAACCTCGTTAGTTTCACCTCACAAAACGGCGCGGACCATTATAATAATTCGGCGCTTCAGCTTTGCACGGAGTTTGGCGGTTACCGTAGTAACCGCCCTTCCCCCACTCCCAGCCAATCGCCGCTGCGCGCCATTACCGGCGCCGAAGCCGTGGCCCCGCCTTTTTTTCTTGTCAAGGAGACTGATACCGAGGGCAGTGAGAGCGCGGGGAGGGGCGTCCCTACCGGGTTACACTATTTGATGAACGTCTGTCGTCACATCCGAGAAGCCAATGGCGATCTAACAGGAGGGAAAGATGGGCGGGGAGGAACGACGTCGGTGACGTCAGAGGGAGAGGATAGCAACTGTTGCCTCGAGACCCCCGGCGCCATAGTGACTGTAGCTGTGGAGACTGTTACTTGCCAACCGGAGACACACGATCAGCAGTGGCCGGAGGAGCAGCCTGGAGACCGCGGGGCCACAACTTTAACATCACCAGGCATCTAACCGCACGGGGAGCCGGACACAGGTGAACCGCTCACCCATACAGCCGAGCCTGGCACAAGGTTGGGAGGGCAGGGAAGCTGGGGTGAAGGAAGTAGATGGGAGTAATGGTGGAGAGGAAGAAGTACATGCATCCAGCCATCGGCAGCTTTATATATATTAACCCTTAAAGCTCCCGGATGTCACAAAGAGTCATTTGTGCCTATTCATATGTAGATATGTTATGATTATAATCATCCAGCCGCCGCTTCCACTTAGCCATGGCCTGGCCACTCGGCTTGTAGATTTTTATCAACGAGTACATAAATGTGAACTTTTAAAGAGCTGCCTTGTGCGGTAAAGTTTAGGGGTTGCCATAGCAGCAAGTACATATGTTTATACCGTTGTAAGATCTCCTCCTTTATACTTGTTTATACAGATAGGGAATAACACATCATCTGCTCCACTTTGACCAGTATGTGATATCACCCTTTCTCAGTGTGTGGCCTTTGTCAATAGTTCAATAAATTGGGATCGGTTTGGTGGCACATTGATCAAATGGGGGTTTAAGAAATGATCAGAGTTTGTGGAAGAATGGAAACGGGTTCAACATGTGTCAGCTGACCACCTTTTTTTAAGTAAAACAGTGTCTGCAGCAGAATAACTATGTCTGCTGAATCAGGATGATCCATAAAAAGCTGGCCATACACTAAACAATCTGATCTCAAATAGTTATCTAGTGCAAGGGCCATCCTGACTGGACACAAGCTGTAAGGCTTGTTCAGGTTTGTTTGTACATGACAATCTATGGCTGACCATACACTATACAATCTGATAGTAGATCTAAAGAAGATTGTACAATCTAGTACAGAGATGGACAACTCCGGCCCTGCAGCTGTGCTTTAAATACAAATCCCAACATGCCTCTGGCAATCATGCCTGTAACTGTCAGTCTTGACTGCCTCATGGGACATGTAGTTCCAGAACAGCTGGAGGGCCAGAGTTGCCCACCCCTCATCTGGTATGTAGTACAAAGGCTGACTTGGTACTAATTAAGTGGATTTTTTAGGATTGTGCTCGTAATGCATGGTTTTTGGTAAAGCTAAAGGAGATTGTACAACCTGACTGTTTAGTGTCATAGTGCCATACGCCAGCTGAAAGTAGATTGCACAAACTGTCCAATCTGATTGTATAGTGTATCTGGCCACATCAGGACTACCCTGTCCACACAGTGATGATGGTGCTGTGCAATTTACTGCAGGATGAGCCTCACTGTCATCTTGTTGATGCTGCCAGTAGATCAGTTATTTCTGAACGTCAACGGTAATAAAACTGTATTCTGAGGTAGACTCAAACGGATATCACATGTCATTTCTTGCTTTGCCCTTAGTTCTTTGAGGGATTCCAGCAATGTGTCCTGTAGCACCCAGACTGATGTGTTGCTTCTCACTGGGGAAACCTTTTTACTTGTCTGTGACTTTGTTTACATGATGGGATCTTCATAGTGCATGACACTGGGGTGCACTAGCTGCTGAGACAGCCATGCAGGAGTAAAGTTCATAGGAGCACAGGTTCATCATACCAGTTCATCATACTGATATCCATTCATCAGAATGAGCACGTCATCCTGTTTATCACACACCTTTTCATTCAGCTGGGCGCTCACTATGACAAAGAGCTTTCCGGCAGTCACACATTTTCCTGGCAGCCCCTAGGATTTTGTCTGACTTTATAGTAGTTTACGAGTGATGGTCGTCCCTTTTCTTTTCTGTTTCATCTTCTATCAAAATCTGTCACCTTCGTTTTCACATTTAAATTGTGTTTATTGATGATACTAGATTGATTAGTAGTAGTAGTCCCATTAGTACTATCACTGTTAATAATATTATTTATTATTATTAGTCGTAGAAACAGTAGTACAAATTATTTTATTTGTAGTAGTACCATTAGTATCATCAATGTTATTAGTAGTAACAGCAGCAGTAGGTTACTCTTATGATTATTAGTGTTATCATTATTACTGGTAGTATATTTTAGTAGTAACAGTAGCATATTTTTATTAATATTTTATCATTTATTTTTTATGTTTAGTACAACCTACTACCACTACTGTGACTTCCTGGCTTCATCCTGTGTTTTCCACAGCGTCTTTATATCTACTAGCGAGGGTTGTTTACTTTTGTTGCCCTTGGATACATCACAACTGAGCTTTGCTATGTGGATCGGCAACACCAGAGCTGCATTGTAGCAATAGCAGGAAGCCAGACGTCAGCCCAAACGTTTTTGGTTAAAAATAAAGTCATCTATTTGTTAAAAGATTGCGGTGACATTGGATGGCAGATGTACGAGGGTCTATTTATCACCCTTCCTCTCTTGGACTCGGTTTATAATATGTCTTTTTAGCATCATTGTATTCCTGTGGTGTGTAATAGAAATTAATCTTCAAAAGCAGAAAACTTTACCACATCATTTGGGGAAAGGAACAAAAGCATACACAATTGGCCCTCATAACGTTCTATGAAGGGAGACGGCTGCTGATTGTAGTTGTTGTGAAGTGATCTTATTAGAAATACTTGTTCATATATTCAGTTTGTGGAATTATGATGCCCTAGCCTGTTTAACCACAGATAACTTGAGTGGCCAATTTATATCTCTTGACAGTGAGCACTCAGTTTTATTTTGCTGTGATGGAAAGGTACCCCAAATGGCACTGTCCCTGTTTTGTTGCTATAGTAACTGCAGCCAGAGTTTGGGTCATTGTGAGCATTTTATGGGCTCTGAGTCATGTCACTCATGTTGTGCGTAGGAATACCATAATGCAAATCAAACTTTTCTAGTGCAGGTTAGAAAATCAACGCATGTTCCTATGGGCAGTAGGTCTATGAATTATGGGTTCCAGGCTGATTTATAACGCTTTTGGACATCTCACAAATCTCAATACAAATTAGCCAACTAAACATGAGATTGTAGTCCATCACAGAAGTGAGCTTGGAGCGGTGGCTACTTTACACACAGGGACCATGGGGAACAAAAGTAGCCCCCCTCATGAAGGAAGGAGAGTGTCAGCACCAATTCAGAGGTAATTTGAGGATCTACAGCCAAGTGATGCACAAATAAGGTAAATTTTTGCTAATAGTTAAAGGAGAACTACGAGGTGAGTGATTTCCACTCATCCTTATAGTTTGAGCCAATGAAACTGTCACACGTCGGCTCTATAGATTGGGAAGTGAGCGAACACATACCGTCACTTGCTCACTTTCTGATCATCTCCCTGTAGAGAGCGGTGACTATCAGCCTTCCAGCGCAGACTGGTGGAATGGATCAGGGAGGGGGCAGGCACAGCTGGCTCTGCCTCTAGATAGGCGGAGCCAGCTGTCACTCACGCAGCTGGGTGGATCTCAACAGCATGGGGGGGGGGGTT